CACACCAAGAGCCTATTAATCTATGGTATTTTCAATAGCCCCATATGCATGTTAAAGTTGGACAGTGAATAAGGAAGACCACAGAGACTTGATGCATTTGAGTTAAGGTGCTGGAGAAGATTATTAAAAGTACCTTGGACTGCCAGAAGAATAAATAAATCCGTGTTGGAAGAAGTACAGCCAGAATGCTCCTTGGAAACCAGGATGGTGAGATTTCATCTCTCATACTTCTGGCATATTATTTGGAGGGACTAGTCCCTGTAAGAATGACATCACGCTTGGTAAAGTGGAGAGTCAGTGAAAAAGAAGAGGACCTTAACAAGATGAATTGGCACAGTGGCAGCAGCAATGGACTCAAACATAATAATTGTTAGGATGGCATTGGACCAGGCAGTATTTCGTTCTGTTATGCATAGGGTCACTGTAAGTCAGAACCAATTTGACAGCAGGATAATGCGCTGGACCACAAGGTCAGTTTGAGCTGCAAGGTTGGTGGTTCAAACCCACCAACCACTCTACAGAAGCCCTAAACAGGGTTGCTATGGGTCGGAACCAACTCAATGGTACTTAACCACAACAACAAAGCAGATCTATAAAGTGGTACAAAGTTACTAGTTTATGTGTTGGCATATACCTCACGATCATTGTGACGATTACAATCCATAACAGCTTGCATAGAACTGCTCCATAGCCTTTCCAAGGCTGTAAATCCTATGGAAACAGACTGCCACATCTTTCTCCTGGGGAGGGGCTGATGGGTTCAAACTGCAGAGCTTTGGGTTCACAGCCCAGCACTTTAACCAAGGTGACGCTAGGACTCTCACTTGCCATTAGCCAATGCCTAACCCACAGCCCCACCAGGGCTCCCACTTTCCCACTGCCATCGAGTTGTGACCCTGCAGAGCAACTGTATAGAGTTTCTGAAGCTGTAAACCTTTACAGGAGCAGGAAGCTTGGTCTTTCTCCCAAAGAGCAGCTGGTGGATTTAAACTGCCAACATTGTGGTTAGCAGTCCAGTGTTTATCCGATGGCACCACCAGTGTTCCTTCTATGATGCTGTTGTCTGTTAAGTGTTGTCACTGAGTCACCTCCAACTCATAGCAACCCTGTTAGGGTTTCCAGGAACAGCTGGTAGTTTGAACTGCCTACCTTGTGGTTAGCAGACCAGTGCTTATCCTACAGCTGGTGTTTCATAAATGTTAGTTCCTCGTCTTTAACATAGTTTAGTAATCTCCAATGATACTCTCAATCTTTGCAGATAATTGACTCCTATTTAACCAAGAAACTCCGCCTCCCCTCCCCCCTTCCCATGCTCTCTGGTATGAGTCTTGATTTCCCTCTTTCCTCCTTTTCCTGTCAGAATTCTCTATTCCCTCATCTCTCCTGATATAGAAGCAGTGCTCTCCTTCTTTTCTAAGACTAACTTTCTGTCTATGCCAATAGTTTTCAACATAGATTGGAATCATTTGGAGAACTTTTAAAAAATGTAAATGTCTGGGCCCCACAACAGATCAACTAAATACTTATCTCTGGAGGCACAAACATGGCATTGGTTTTTTTTTTTTTAATCCCCCAGCTAGGATTTTAAGAAATTCAATGAGGGAAAGAATAGTCTTTTTAACAAATAGTGCTGGAACAAGGAGATATCCGCAATCAAAAGAATGAAGTTAGATTTCTTTCCTATATGTAAACAAAGTAACTCACAATGGATTATAGAACCAAGTGAAAGAGCCAAATTTCATGAATCTTGTAAGTAAATCACAGGAGTAAATCTTCCTGACCTTGGATTAAGCAAAGGATACTTAGATATTACTCTAAAAGTGTGAATTGTTGAGTCAGTTCTAACTCATAGGGACCCTGTATAGGATTTCCAAGGGCTCAAGTTTAATAGCAATTGTAAGGATGGTGCAGACCCAGGCAGTGTTTCCGTCTGTTGCTAGTAGGGTTGCTAATGAAGATTATATGGCTTCATTTATACGAAATGTTTAGAGTTGGTAAATCCAGGTATACAGAAAGTAGATTAATGGTTACCTAGGACTAGTGGAGGAGTCCTGGTATGGCGCTGTGGGTTAATGTGGTAGACTGCAAGGTTGGTTTGAACTGGAAGGTCAGCAGTTCAAACTCACCAGTCATTCCTCAGAAACCCTATACAGGGTCATTATGAGTCAGAACCAACTTGACAGCACTTAACAGCTAACCTCAAGGCTGGTAGTTCAAGCTTACCAGCCACTCTGAGGGAACAAGATGAGACCCTTAATTCTTGTAATGATTTATAGACTCAGAAACCCTATGGAGAAGTTCTACTCTGCCTTATAGGGTAGTAGGGTTTTTTGGGGGGTGAGGGGGAACAGGTTAGGGCTAGCATTGAAGTGGGAATAGAGGGATGATGGTGAGGAAGAGGTGGGACTACAAATGAGCATGGGGTTTCTTTTTGGAGTGGTGAAAAAATTTTAACATTGATTATGATTATGACTGTACAACTCTGTAAATCTACTACAAACACTGAATAGTGAAAAACTCAAGAAGAAAAAATATTCCCCAGGCAACCCTAATGGTTTTCAAAGACCAATTTCTGATCCAAGATACTATATGTGCATAGTAATTTACCTTCTAGATTACTGTGATTTGTGTTTGTGTGTGTGTAAAGATTGTATCTTTAAATCTTTGTCTTCACAACCTTATTACTTTAAAAGCCAACACAGCAGGAGTGTGGTATATCTTTTGAATGACTTTTTTTTTTTTTTTTTTAGTATCAGAGGACTCTTAGGGAATGATTTTTATTTTAATCAAAATTGTAAGACTCAGACTGCCACCTGGCAGAACTGATCCTCTCAGTTATCTTGGTTCATGTGAGTTCTTCAAACAATTAATTCAACTGTAGCACATAGTGAGAGGACAGCCAGACAGAGCAAACCAAACTGACCGGTTCTGCCATGACTGTTCCCTCACCTACCAGTGGATGTGGCCCTTAGGAACCATTCTTTGGACAGTTCCCCAGGACACGGCTCTGGTTTGACTAACTTTGTTTACTAAATAAATGAATTCCTACTTCTGGAGTAGCTTCAATTTTTAAACAGAAAGCCATCTATTAACAGTCACTGATACACAGGATTTTATTGTTTGATATTAAACAATTAAGAGTTATTGTATTGTTGTGTTTTTTCTACAAGTACCCTATACATGAAAATAAATATAATCTAGAATACAGTCACTGGAAAATTCTAAATCCATTCTGTGCCTTAAAGGGATAGTTTTACTTTAATAAATGCCAAGTACAGCTTCCTGCAAAATGTACATAAAATAGAGACTGATGAACATTTCTTAAAATGTGTTGAATTCTGTAAACCCATTTTTGAAGATCGACTATTAAAGTCTTTTGATAGTAGACTTCAATAAAATAATTTTGAAATGACTATTTCCAACAAAGTTTCTGAAGGTGTGCAAAAAAGAAAGATGCTGAGATAAATCAAGATGTTTAGTTTATACAGGGGATAGGTTTAAAAATGCTACTTCATTTGTTCAACCTAGCAAGTAAAAAGTAGCAAACTATGAAACCACAGTCCTATGAATGCACGACAACAATTTGATTTAGATCAAGGCAAAGGGGTTCCCTTCTTCATGAATCTAGTAAGTTCAAAGGCACTTAAAGAAAGGGAGGAAGAAAAGAAGAGCTGAGTGAGAGCAATGCCACATTGAGACAAAAGAAAAACCTAATCCCCAACCATAACTCTGAAATTAAATATGAGTTTACAGTTGGAAGATTCCATGACTATGAATAATTTAAAAAATAGTGTTAGAGTCATCCTTTAGAAGTCTTGCTTTATGAGATAAAATTATAATATGAAAGTCTCAAAACAAAGTATTGATTACTCAAGGAAAACATGACAAGGTTGGATGGTAAGCATTAGCAGGCATTTTGCATTCTCTCTCACTGGAAGGAACAACCAGTTTAAAGTGAGACAGTTGGAAAATGCTATTAGATTATCTGGGCTGAGGAGTGGCCCCAGGGGTAGAACATGTCATAATGTCACATTCCTCATCTTTGCTATCACAACTTTCAACAGAACAAACCCAAATACTGGAAAACAAAGTTAGTCAAAAATACTAACTTTTTATTAAAAGTACATGTAAACTATCAAACCAACTTAATACATGGAACATAGCAGAAGTGTGTATACATGTCTCCCAAACACAGTAGAATAAACTCTTTTTAGTTGAAAGTTTACCTTATAAAAATATTCATGTGTGCAATATAATTATGGGACACAGTAAGAAACCACTTCTTAGTTTTCATTAGGGGATTTTTTTTTAATTGGAATTTTAAGGATAATTCCCTTTTTGCCTATGGTTCAGGCTTTCAGGTTTTTCCAGACAAGTTAAATGTACAGAATGACATAAGGAGGAACTACAAGCATGTATAAATAATCTACTAGAGCTCCCATAATAAAACCCTTACAAAAAAAATGATCGAACAAGTATTCATTTTCCCCAAATTGTAATCTGAGGTTATCAACTATTAAGCAATTTAGGAAACAAAGGCAAGGTAATGGGTGCGAAACAACAAAAAGGACTGCAGAAAGAGACCAGTGCTCAGCAGGCTGGAACCTGCTCTCTCTAGCTGGTCCGGTTTCTCCCAGCACCTTTGTGGTGATCTGAGCTCTTCCTCCGATACTGGCCATATCACCTCTCAGAAAAATGAATCTCCCTTTAAGGAAAACCAAGCCAGCATCCGGAGGTAACGTGCAAAACCGTAAACGAAAAATGTCCACGTCTAGCAGGCAGACAAGCAAAGGAAAACCAGCTGTCAGTTTCAGAGGCTCCTAGCTATAACGGGGTTTCGGGTTTCTCTCTGCCTCTGTCTCTATCTGTCTGTCTGTCTCGCTCACTGTATCTCCTTCAATATTATCAGTTTGTTAATCACCTTAAATCACAAATACATTCTCTATCTGCCCTTGTGATATAAATGCTGAGCAAACAGAAAAACAGAATGAAATACTCACAATAATGAAGAATTCCTACACATGTTGTTCCATCTTCTTGCTTTAAAAAGATGGAAGGTTCATTTAAAGAAAAAAAAAAAAAAAAAGCCTTGCAGAATTAGAAAAATAAGGGGATGTGGATTCTACCCACACAATCCTCCAGCCCACTGCAAAAGAGCCCAAAGGCTTGCTGACGTCACAGATTCATGAATGGATGTAAATTGGGTTGGTTTAGGATTCCGCACAGACTTTGCTGTGGTGTGTGTCTTGAAAAAGAAAGGGAGGGTCCAGAGGAGGCTCGGCCAATAGGCTTCAGGCATTTATGGCCTGCCTCCTTGTAAAAGGAATCTGGTCACAGAATAAACAGAGGCCGCCAATCAGGCGCCTGCCGCTGCCTTAAGACAGACTGGCAGCTTGCGGGGAGAATTGTGTGTGTGTGTGTGTGTGTGTGTGTGTGTGTGTGCGTGCGCGTGTGCGCGCGCGCACAAACACACTCATCCCAGCGCTTCATGCTGTGATAATCATGAGAACATCATTATTATTATTGAATGAGAATATCAGAATAGAATTTTGTAGAATCAATGCCACCCAAGAATGTGTATATATATATATATATATATATGTTGTTTTTGTCAGGTGCCATCGAGTAGGAACCAACTCATAGTGACCCCATGCACAGCAGAACGAAACAATGTCTGATCCGATTTTTTTTTTTTTTAAATCACATCAGACCCATTGCTGAACAGCAGGAAATAGATGAAAGAAAATAGCCCTAATAAATAAAAGATTATGTATATATATGTATGTATTATATATGTATAAGAAATTACATAATCTTTTATTTATTAGGGCTATTTTCTTTCATCTATTTCCTGCTGTTCAGCAATGGGTCTGATGTGATTTAAAAAAAAAAAAATCAAGAAAATACTTTCTAAAGCTGGCCACCAGTGAAATTCATGCCTAGTGCATGAAAGCAACACAGTACAGATGTATACACTAATGACTAAGGAAACATAAACCTATAAATATAAGAAAATATTGCATAAATGTAGTTCTTTTATACAACAATAACATCTTGCTGACCTTTGTGATGCATCACTATGGGTGTGGAAGGGCAATTTACTGCTACAGTTAAATAAGGTAGAACATTTCCTCATTGGTTTATTCGACTTCTGATATTCAAGTCACACAAAGCTCACCTTAATGAATCTTAGAGCAAACTCATGCTCCAGTATGATGTCTTATCATTAAGAGTAAAAATACCTATATAAAATTCACCCAAAGTGTTCCTGACACATCTTTTTTGTTGCTTTTAGCTGCCATGGTGTTCCCTTCCCTGCTTCATAAATGCCACATGTACAAATGCACCAAGTGCTACCCGTTCCTCCTCCATCCCCATCAGCATTTATGAACATTTCTTTACTCTTTATTAACATTTCCAGTGTTACAAAAAAGTAGAGATTAATATATTTACTGTCCTCATACTCCATCGCTTTGCTCTGAATTTACCAGTATCACAGCAGTTTTGAAATTGGGAAATGACCTCAAATAATTGAAATTGGTACAATTGTGGTTAATATGAAGCCTCGGTTATGCAGTGTCCCGTGACCAAGAATGTTCTGAACAGGGATCCGCTCTCTCAATCAGATTATTTTGTACAATTGTGAACAGAAAAGTAGTAGTTGGTTTCTATGGCTGTGGAGGATCCAAACTCAAGCCTAATAAATATTATACAGGGCTTAGCTCATTTGAAAAAAGAAAAGTATGCAAGGCTACTTTATACACACAAAGATGTTAATTGCACTTTCCTATATAACTCAAGCAATAGAATAGCAGTGGCAAACAACATACTCAACAAATATCTCTAAAGGAGCTTATTGCGAAATAACACTATGGAAAAAACAGACCTAAAGAAGTTTAACCAGAGGGTGTGGAGGAAGGTAGAATCTCCACTGAGTAATATCCAATCTGTCTAGGCGGGACCGATGAAAAGAAATGCAGATAGGTCTCTTGTGATACAATGATGAATAATTGTTATCAGGAGTGATTGTGAGGGTTGTAAATATAAAGGTAGACATTTTGTGGCAAGGAGGGGAGTGATTAACTTTGTAGTCTAGGAGCGGAGGTCCCTGGGACCATCAAGGGAGAAGAGCGGAGAGCAGGACCCTACCCAGAGAAGCAGTGATCCCAGACATGGAGGCAGAGACGATGACATGGAGAGATGGAGCTGGGGAAGAGGGGCTGTGTGCTGATGGGGGGAGGGGGGAGCAGGGAGAGGGCCAGGGGGCAGACTTGTAGGATGTACCCTTTGGTTGGTTGATGATGCATGGAGGGGATTGTAACCATGGCAATGAAAAGATATACAATAGGATGAATGTAAAACTAATGTTCTCCCATGTAAACTATCACATTATTCACAATAAAACATTAAAAAAAAAGAAAAGAAAAAGAAGAACTTTACCCATGCAATGAAGCTGCGAGCTAAGCCCTACAACACTCAATAGACTCCTGTGAACCCGGATGGCCAAGTCCAGGGGACTCTTGGACCCAGAGTCAGCGACATAGACACAGAGGACTAGAGTGGAGAGTGAAGTGTCCAGCTGATAAGAAGAGAGGGCACATGCATAATTACACCCACACTTGTAGATAATACCTACTTGATCTGGCTTCAATGGCTGGATGATCAGAGCTCAAACAGAAGAAGAAAGAAGAGGGAAAAAAGAATAATCTGATACAATTTGATGAACTTGATATACACCTATGGAAGCAGTAGCTCAAAAGAGTGAACAAATCTTCACAGCGAGGATCATTCTCACCTCCTCCGCACACAGAGAGGACAGGGATGAGCAACTTGGACATTGGCTCTTTCAATATTTTCCTCCAATGCCATAACTCAAAAGCATCAGTTCTTCTATGGTCTTTCTTATTCACTGTCCAGCTTTCGCATGCATATGAGGTTATTGAAAATATCATGGCTTGGGTCAGGCACACCTTAGTCCTCAAGCTGACATCTTGTTCTTCAACACTTTAAAAAGGTCTTGTGCAGCAGATTTGCCTAATGCAATACATCGTTTGATTTCTTGACTGCTGCTTCTGTGAGAATTGATAGTTGATCCAAGAAGAATGCAGTCCTTGACAACTTCAATCTTTTCTCCGATGATATGAATATTATATATTGAACCAGTGGTGAGGATTTTTGTTTTCTTTACATTGAGATGTAATCCATACTGAAGGCTGTGCTCTTTGATCTTCATCAGTAAATGTTTTAAGTCCTCTTCACTTTAAGCAAGCAAGGTTGTATCATCTGCATATCACAGGTAATTAATGAGTCTTCCTCCAATCCTGATGCCACATTTTTCTTCATAACTCAGCTTTTTGGATTATTTGGTCAGCATACAGGTTGAATAAGTATGGTGAAAGAATACAACCCTGTCGCACACTTTTCTTAATTTTAAACCATTAAGTGTTCCCATGTTCTGTTCGAACAACTGCCTCTTGGTACAGGTACAGATTCCTCATGAGCACAATTAAATGTTCCGGAATACTCATACTTTGCAATGTTGTCCATAGTTTGTCATGATCCTCACAATAGGGTTTCAAAGGAATGACTGGTGGGTTTGAAGCTCTCTCCATATATATATATATATATATTTATATTTATATTTTTAATTTTAAATTGGGTAAATGTTTACCGAGTAGATCATCAGTTTTGTACTCAACAATTCATACACATTTTGTTTCATCTCACTGATTGCAATTCCCACAATGTAACATCACTTATGATGCAGGAAGCATCAAAAGAAGATGGAAGCAGCACAAAACAGTCACTGTAGCAAAAAGAATTAGCTGATATATTCAACCATTTCAGGTGGTAACATACGGTCAAGAACTGATGGTATTAAAGGAAGAAGTTAAAGATGCAGTGAAATACCAATTGAAAATGTTTCAACAAACTGATGGAAGTACTCACTAGTCTAAGTCAAGAAATTTGGATGACAGCTACCTGGCCAACTGACTAGAAGAAATCTGTATGTGTGCCCATTTGAAAGAAAGGTGTCCCTACAGAGTGCAGAAATTATTGAACAATCATTAAAATCACATGCAAGTAAAATTTTATTGACGATCATTCGAAAATCCTTGCAGTGGTAGAGATAGAGGGAGCTTCCAGAAATTCAAGCCGGATTCAGAAAAGGACATGAAACTAGGGATATCATTGCTGATGTCAGATACATGTTGCCTAAAAACAGAGAATACCAGAAAGATATTTACTTGTGTTTTACTGACTATGCAAAGGCATTCGACTGTATGGATCATAACAAACTATGGATAACATTGCGAAGAATGGGAATTCCAGAACACTTTAATTGTGCTCATGCAGATCCTGTCCATAGATCATTCAAACCAAACAAGGGGATATTAAATGGTTTAAATTCAGAAAAGGTGTGTGTCAGGGGTTGTATCTTTTCACCATACTTATTCAATACATACACTGAGCAAATAATCTTAGAAACTAGGCTATATGAAGAAGAACACGGCATCAGGCTAGACTCATTCACAACCTGTGATATGCAAATGACACTTTATTCCCTGAAAGTGAAGAGTACTTGTAGCACTTACTGATGAAGTTCAAAGCTAAAGTCTTCAGTATGGATGACAACCCAATGAAAAGGAAACAAAATTACTCATTGGACCAATAAACAATATCATAATAAACAGAGAAAAGGTTGAAGTTGTCAAGGATTGCATTTTACTTGGATCCACAATCAATGCTCATGGAAACAGCAATCAAGAAATCAAATGACATACTGCAGTGGGCAAATCGGCTGCAAAGGAGCTCTTTAAAGTTGAAGAGCAAAGATATCACTTTAAGGAGTAAGATGAACCTGACCCAAGTCATGGTATTTTCAATTGCTTCATATGCATATGCAATCTGGACAATGAATAAGAAAGTTCAGAGAAGAATTAATGCCTTTGAATTATGGTGTTGGCAAAAAATATTGAAAGTGCCATGGACTGCCAGAAGAACCAACCTGCCTTAGAAGAAGTACAGTCAGAATGTCCTTTAGAAACTCGGATGGTGAGACTTCATCTCATGTACCTTGGATCAGAAGGGACCAGTACTTAGAAAAGTATATCATGCTTAGTAAAGTAGAGGGCCAGTGACAAAAAGAGAGACCCTCATGGAGATATACTGACACAGTGGCTTCAACAATGGACTCAAACTTAACAACAATTGTGCAGGAGTGGACAGTGTTTTGATCTGTTGTAAATAGAGTTGCTATGAGT